ACCTCAACATTTGCAAATGTTTTAACTGATAGCAAATTGAGAGATTGCTGTCTCCGTCCACATTCCACCAGAAGTGACCCAGTACGGAGACGAGTGACATTCTTTACCTCGCCACAAATCCCAGAGATAGCTTTTGAAATAGCAAACGGGTTTAGTTTAATTGGCAGAAAATCCGTAGCTTCAGTAACCAAGAATCGAGCCCATGATTCAACGTTTGCAGAAATATTTGTGTTAGAGTGATCTAACTCGTTCAGTCTCCTCTTCTTTTCATTCCGAGATGAACCAACTTGTGGGGACGCCATAATGAAAGGAAAATAATCCATCATCCCTGCTCCCCACCCACCATGGAGTGTCAACAAGGACGATGTCAATTAGCACCGGATCTCCAAGATCCTGACACCAGGGATACAGGGATGTTACACTCCAGCGAGTATGACACAAATAGCAATATTTGTATACCAATTAAATATCAGGCTGGTTCTTGCACATGACAAGAAATTGGACACATATTGAATTTGGAGGTCAACATCACCAGATTGGCCCATGAGCCACCGCCTTCTGGCATAGGACTCTAGGCAATACAAGTTATCAATAATTTAAACATTGCAAATCTAAATTTCCAAGACCCAAATGATAATTTATTGTGCAAATATAATCACCATGCACAGGGCTTGGCGTGACCAGACGATTGATAGAACCGGGCCAGTTCTACCACCCGTCTAGGTGAAGTAAGGGCCAAAGAGGTGTGTTGGGCAACAGGAACACGGTTCCAGGATCCTATTGCCCTCAACCACCAGAATCCCGTCCTCCACCGACACAGGGGCGCAACCCACGGCAAACGGGTTGGTGGACCAATTATGCCCCCGGATCCACAACGGGGGTTTGAAGAGCGCTTAGCGTTACCCAGCACCCACCACGAGGAGGTGGCTCTTCACGGGTGCCCGTATTTAAACATTTGTGAAAATCCATAAATCCGGGAGTGGCGTTAAGGAGAAAAATCATCTCCTTAGTTTAAGCATGATTAGTTTTATAGTTGTAGGAGAAAAAATGGACACATTTCTTAACTCATAGCCACCTTTCATGACCGCGTTCCATCAAGAAGCAAAAATATTCATCAAGAGTGAAGCATGAGCCAACGAAATGTCACCTATGAGACCTTCCCCAGAAAAACTCCAGCTTTTCATTAAATTTAGACTCTAAGGACATAACAAGCGTCAGCAGGTCAATGGCCCTAGTCGTTCTTGTAGTAACAGGCTTCTGTGTTATGGTAATCGCAAGTCCACCTTATCATGATTGCTATATTTGACGTGTTTTAAAACACTGGTATTCATCGACTGATATAATCCAGCTATCCATCCACTATTTAGCATGTCTTCTATATTGCAAAAATAAGCCACTCTAAAACAGGTGATAGGTGATAACATTTCATTTGCGTGGAAGTGATCTGGAGAAATATTAGTAAATACATGAACCCCAATCAAGCCCCACCCACGTTTCTATAAAAGTACGAAAACACCTCCAGTAACTGTAATATATTTTACTCTGCGAAAAACAAAAACACACAAAAACGTGATCATCAACAATGCAGAAAGAGGTGTAGTCAGACAGTTCTCAAATACTGTGATTTTGTGAACCACCACTGGCGACTAATCTCGAAACCTGTGTTTGTGTACATGGTTGGGCAGGTTGCTGGTGTCTCACCCATTGCTTGACAGCATCATTCTGGACGGTTTCTGCTGGTGTCAGATCGTCGATTGTGGGCATGTGGCGTTGGGTCGGAATACGATCTCTTCCTCACGTTGTCCGTTGTAATTGAGTGAAACATCTGCACAATCAACGATGGTGGCTGCGAGACATCTTCTCCTCCTTGGCAAATGCCTCAATAGCAAAACGGCGCTTTATCTTGGCCAGACTGATATAAATGCAACATTGTATCAAGCAATATAAACGGTCCTAGGGTTGTCTTCCAAATCCAATGCACTGTAAATGAAAACATTAAAATATATAAAATGTCACTTCATGGCGGGTAATTATAACTTTTGCAACGATTACACAAAATAGAGGCCCATAAAGCCACCAACATTGAATGATAATGCAATCCACTGATATTGCACACATTAATTCAATTTCAACAGAATAATCGTTTTTCTATCTGGGGCGTTGGGGTAGCCAAGTGGTTAAAGCGTTCGCTCGGCATGCCTAAGACCAAGTTCGATTCCCCACAATGAAACAATGTGTAAAATCACATTCTGGTTCTATTCCTATATTGGTGGAATATTGCCAAAAGCAGCGTAAAACGTATTCCCTTGTATTGGGATAGCTAGGATGACTTTCCTGGTCAACGTAAAAGAAACCAAACCAAACAAAAACCACAACCATTTAAATCAAGACCAAATATACTCGACAATAGAAAGATAAACGTATAGTGTATGTCACCGTGTACAAGCTATCCATGTTTGAATGCTTGTCCGAGTTCCGTAAAAGCTCCGGTAAAACTACAACCCCTTCTAAAGGGTATGTTTAACTTGAGTGATAGATAGAAAAAAGCGACCCTGTTACACATTAAAATGGAGTTTACAGGATGGCACTCTCGAGTTATACATCTTTTAACTGGCACAAGGGAATTCAGTGTTGATGCCTACATTCATTTATATTGTGCACCGCAATTCTATTGAGAATGGCAGGGTACTTTCCAGTTAAATTGTAGCAGCTGATCTGAACAAAAGAAATGTAAGTTAACGAAAATCCGTTAAGCAGGGAGTGATGTTAAGGAGAAAATAAGAAGGCGACAGATTTATTGCTAAGTTTATTGTGTTGTCAGAGAGTCAGTCGGACACTTGTCACCACTTTCTTCCGTCTTTCGTGTCCTGTTAACGACTGCGTTCCGTTCATAGACAAACAAAATCCCGACAAGAGAGAGACGTGATCGAATGAAATGTCACCTCTGAGATCCAGGTTATAGCTTTCTCTGCGCCTCCATAGTGCGATTTTAGGCTTAAATGAGACACTTAACATCAACAGGTCAATGCATCTCACCGTTCCCGTACCAGTGATAGACTTAGATTTTATGGTATTCCCAAATCCGAATTATCATCAATTACGTTTCTTACATGCCATGCACAAGTCAGCAGTCGTCGCTTGCGCCACTTTGGTTCCATCCAGGGAATCAGCAATAGATCTTTTCCTCATCAGTCTCCAGACAGGTACTTGCCAGCATTGATATATATTTCTAAGAGACCTGATGTAGTTGGCAACAAAATGTGCTATGCGTGACAACTTGTAAAAACTATTTTTCAGACAGAGCTACTTGGAATCATGACTAAGAACATCCTGGGTAGTATGTTACACGGTCAATTTAGCCTTTACAGACAAAGTCGCGTTTGTAATGTAATTCATGCGCTATGTAATGCGCTTTGTGGAAGCCGCGGTGGCTGAGCGGTCTAGGCGTCTGACTTTGTGTGCTGGCGATTAGGTGCCTGACTCTGAGGGTGCAGGTTCGAATCCCGGATGGGATTCAATCCCCAAAAAGTACTAGCATCTGTACTTTACTAAGAAAGTGTTATCCCAACTACAATGTATAACATATGTTACTATCTAATGCTGTTTACTGATGTGTCCCAGCGTGTAAGAACTGGGCACCTGTTTGAACCATGTTTTGCATTTGCGAAGATTATACAGTGTGTGAATATTGGGTTCAACAGCTGTTTGAATAATACATTATATATATATATATATGCAATGTTAGTTTTCTGAAAGTTTGTTTCAGATCTTTGTTTCAGATCTTTATTACCTTCGTCGCTTGTGCCCAACTCACGTTCCTTGTTGCCATATCATGGAAATAATCACTTATCCCAAGTTTGATGCAAAGTTAGTTTTCAGATAATTCCTATTTTCAGCATTATGTCAATTGAAGCTAACAAGACTGTCCCTTAAAAGAGAGGGCGCATGGTAATGAAACTGATGGTTATAATCATATCAACGACTTACTTTGACGTTTATTCCTTTTACAGGAGAATGTATATTTGTAATCTGAACTACGAACTACATCCACACTCCTGTGGGAAGCGTGTTTCTGATTCATTTGACACTTTGATGTTGAACCCATGTTCGTGTAGACACTGGAAAGAGTCACAGTGTTCCAATGCATGATCGAATTTCATCTCTACGACTTATCCCAGTGAACGCCAATACACGGAACTATCGACTCCATCCATGCCTATTCTGACAGCGACTGTTTACAGTAGTCTACGACCTTATTTCAGTATCTGTTTGATACATGATTATAATCACCTTTGAATGATCGGCCAGTTGATTCACGATGAAAGAGAAGCTCTGCACTGTGTGAAGGCACATACTCTACGGACCTCATGCAAAGTATTTTATTCCTAAGTATCATGGTCTTTGGGTCACTGGAGTTGTGAATGACGGATCGGAGGAGCGCAGGGATTTGAAGTCGGATACACTGTAGCTCATGGTGATATAATATTGACAAGGGTAGCGGTGTTTCAAAAGCATAGCTGTCTCTACCATAATGTGTACCTAAATGTTATTTCGTTGACGGGAATAGCATTGCGGCAAGCAGTAGCCAGTGACACTTTATTCATATTCAACGGATACACAGTTAGTGAAATATTAAGGGTCAACACACAGATCCAGCCAGTCCGGACTGAGTGATAATGGAAACCACTGACACAGCAGTCACTTTGTGACATATGTAGATGGCTGTCTGACTGGAAGCCATAGAGCTAATGTTCCTGAAACTGACACACTCTTGTAGGGACATAATATAATGAGCCTTGGTTATATCTCTCTATAAACCACCTTATTGGCGCTCAGACAAAACGAAAGCTCATCTTAAACTCAGTTTAATGCCACTGTTATATTTTGGGACCGGAGCTCAAGTAGTGTTTTGGAATTTGTAATTTTAGTAGTGTTGTCCCAAATGCAGTACAGAATGGCTTCGCGTTCTCTCAAGGACATCAGCTGTGAATCTGCAGACAGAAAATTTAAGTGTTGATTTCAGAAAACGAAAATGTTTTGAACACAAAACAGTTTCAATCTTGGTAGTTTTGATGAATCATTTTCTTTTCAAACTTTCATTTAGCCACGATAATGAAAAATGTAAGTCATGCTATCTGTTGCTTCTTCACACCGTTGAAATTCTACTTCACAAAATGTAAAAAACAGAACAAAACTTCGTCATACAACTGCTTTAATCAAGGTCAAATCCAATAAATCATGCCTAAGAACTGTTAACCAATGTCAGGATCCAACACTTGCATCCCTTGGAAGGCTTCAGACTCGAGTGATGCACAAAACGCCCTTGCCAAATTTATCATAAGAAACTTCTGTTTCGGAGTCAGTTGTACGATCCGATTATATCCTGAGTGTGTGTTTAAGAAGGGAGCGAGTATATTGTGTGTGTTTTAGACTCACGAGTGTATCCTGTTGAGCCACGAATACGGAAAGACAAGTCAATTGTTCACTGGGAAAAAACACTGTTAGGGGACTTGTAGAAAAGTGGTTTCGTATCAGGCATCCTTTTCGCAGATGCGTCACTGAAGAGTCTAACATAAATTCTTTTGAAAGATTTACGAAGGCCCTGAGAACATAATGAAACATATAGAGAGCAAGGCTCGCACGACACCTACCAAAAGAGTATGATTATCAACTACATGATTGTCAATTTTCGCTGATGATACTCCTTCTTTCCTTGTCACTGTTTCGAGGTAGGCAAGATGGGAAGATGGCCTCGAAGATTCGGATTCTATTGCCTCTACTGTCATGGAAAATATTGAAAGAAATTCGGGATATGATAATCTGATTACGGAGGATCATCGCACGTAACATAGCCAATACAGCAGACTTGTCTCATGGGGGAGTTGCCAACATTATAAACAATGAGCTTGGCATTTAGTAATATATATATACATGAACAGGTTAATGATTCCAAACATTCTCCTGCAAATAACATTCCTTCATGGTAATGTGTTTTCCACAAATCTGCTTTATTTATGCATCTAATGAATGATAAATATTTCGGTGGCCCTGACGTCTTCAGGAATATTCCGTGCGAACTTAGAACTGAATAAAAACAAAGCATGAATATGAAATCGTTCATTTTACAGGGAGTGACTAATGGATATAGGAGGGACCAAGTCTTCACAGATGACCGGTTCTTCATCAGAAGGAATGTGTACATCCTTGGATAAAGACAAAGGAGCAATGTTAGTAAACTTGAGAGGAAAGCCCTTTACAATTACCACTTGGAACCAGTGACCACGGTGTCACTATGCTGACAAAGCAAGAAACATCTTAATCAGTGTCACTTTGTGTAACAAGTTTTTAACATTATTATTTTTCTGCTGTGACTTAACCGTTATCAGGATTGTCACGAGGGTATGTAAAAGTCAGTCATACTTTAATCTCAACCCTACGCAACTATGGAACGACAGCTTCTAAAAAGCCTTGCCATATCTTCTAATGTGCAAAGGTCCATCTTATTTAATATGAGAGAGCCAAAGAACTCATTGAATTGCAATAAAATCATATCTGGAAATCGGAAAACTGATGCTGGGGATGGGCAGAAGAAAGCTTTTAATCAGTCCTTCCCTACGTACTGGCATCCCTTGATAGGTTTCAGATTGGAGCGAAGCAGAGTTTCTTTATCTATCATTTCGCACTGTTTAATGGTTAACTGACAGGATACTGACTGTTCTTTTGAAAGTTATATCGTGTGAACTTTGCCGGTATTGGAAGTGAAAATTTTCATTCCTACTGCACGTTGCAAAATATTGATTTGATATTGATTTGAAAAATTCAAATTTAAAATTGAACAAACGAACAATTTGGAATTTCGAATTGAATGACACTGTATCCAACGGACTATGAAAAGTAATTTTCATTTCAAATTACCAATGACGGGAGGGAGGGATTATTACGCGGATGATATCAGTAAAGGCATTTTGACTGTCACGTTCCTTTCTGTTAAGCGAAGTTCTGATTTGTCAATTTGTTCTGACGTGAACGGTAGTGTATACTCACATCTGTGTTTTCTGGAAATCGAGTGCAGTTCAGTTTTCGGGAAACAAAATGATTTCAGATTTAGTTATTTTACTTTATAAGTTCCACTGTTTACTAGCAGCCAAGTTTGGTTCTTTTGGGTACCTATTGCTATTGTGGTTATTGTACAGGTAGCCATTTCAAGTATTCACAACAATAGGATCGACCTGTGTTGTTCTAGTGGACGTCTTAAGCTAATGAACAATAACATCCACAGCTGTCATATAACAAGGGCCAATACATGGATAAAGCCATTCCGGGCTCAAAGATAACTGAAATCACTGATACTGTCGTCAGTTTGTGACATTTCTATATCCCGTTCCAGTCATGGTTGAGTTCGATTTTCTCCGATTGAAATACATACATGTAGTCGATCAGTGTCTTATCGTATTGGGGTTTCACTATATCTTAATACGTAGAGACTTCTTTCCACATGAAGCTGACACTGAAAAACTAAAGATAAACCACAATTCACTCAATAAAAAAAATCCATGTTGTTTGGCATTTACTGAAGGCTAGATTGCATCTAGTGTTCGTGTTCTACAGCTTACACTGGTAATAATGAACAACACTGCTAATGATGTGGATTTCTGCTCCGCTTTTCAGTGTCCCACAACTCAAGACTTAATCCACTGGACCAAGAGGAACGTCACCATTTAGAATCTATCTATCACGTTGGAGTGGGTGGAGAAGAAAACAAACCTTCAGCCACAGTTATCAACATGGATATCATTTGCTGAAGTGAATTAGAGTAAGAAGCGTTGCTGACACGCGTCTAAGATTTACAGGGTGACAGTCAAAAGTAGTTAATATTTGTAAATAGCATAAGATAATTCGAAATAATACCCACACTCGTTTTGCAATTCTTAGGAATTCGTTTTAAGAGCATAGTCGAGTACACTTTAAACATTTGTGTTAATGAAAAAGTAGAACGTAATGAAAATCCAGGAATCCCGGAGTGGCGTAAGGGAGAAACATCATCTCGTTAGTTTAAGCATGATTAGTTTTATAGTTTTAAGAGAAGAATTGACATATGTTTTAACACATAGCCACCTTTCATGACAGCGTTGCAACAAGCAAAACAATTCAACAAGAGTGAGGTGTAAGCCAACAAAATGGCACCTATGAGACCTTTCCCAGAACAACACCCTTTTTATTCAATTTTAGGCTCTATGGACATAACAAACCTAATAATTACTGCTTTATCTGACCTATTTTGAAACACTGGCATTCATCGACTGGTATAATTCCGCTATGCAACGATCCATCCACTATTTAGCATGTGTTCTATATTGTGATAATGAGCCACTCTAAAACAGGTGATAGGTGAAATATTAATATATACATGAGCTTCTATCAGGCAGCGCCCACGTTTCTATTTCAGTACTAAAACACTTCCAGTAACTGTCTGGCCGAGATGATTTTATGACTGTTTTGTAAATATTTTAGAAACACGTTTTAATCTGTTTAGTGTCTGTCTCATCAAGTACCTGTACAAGCTATATCACTAAAGCAGCATACAGAAAGTTACAATAGCTTCACCTCAGCACTTATATAAGTATACTATCCAAAAAGGAAACGCATAGGCGTTTTGTATTTTTATCTATTAATCTATTAATTACCTATTCTGTTCAAACAATCGTCAAATATGTAACAAAAGTGTTGATAACATGATTTTACACAATTGCACTAGTAAAAAATCGACTTTCCCTGAAACTGTTGATTTTGATGAGATTTCTTACAAGGATTAAATAGGCATAACCACAACGCAACAGAAATCACCTTCCAGTTGAATTTGTGCAGCAAAGAGCATGCACTGTCTGGCTATAAAACCCAGATTACTTTCGGAAATCGGCATTCGTTTTGAATGAGTTTCAAGGTCAAATCACTACGCCACGTCTTGACGCTGCGACACGGAACATCGTCATTGAAAGAATGCACGCTGGAGATTACCAATCTTCTGTTGCCAGGCGTCTGAATGTTAGTCAGAGCATGATATCACGGCTTTCATCCCGTTACAACCAAACAGGCATAACAAATGACCCTCCCCGTACAGGCAGACCTCAAGTCACCACTGTAGCCCAATATCGGTACATCCTGGTACTACATTTGCGTGATCGTACTGCCACGGGTGAGAGCACAGCAGCCAGGGTGCCTGGACTTTGGAGGATATCCGATCAAACTGTACGGAACAGGTTGAGAGAGACTATACTTGAGAGCCAGGAGATCCGACGTCGGGCCCGTGCTACGTCGTCACCATGGCGTTCAACGTATCCGTTATAAAAAATTATCCACTTGGTTGTACGGGCATTTCCTCCTTCTAAACTGATGCAAAAAATCATTTCCTAAAGTCTATTTGAGGATGAGTTATGCATGTTTGAAAATACACTTTCAATCTAATGACAAGCGCATTGCATTGTCTGCCCTTTTCCTCTAGCAACATGAAGTTAGAAACGGATTGGGGATTGGGGATTGGGGATTCGAATCCCGAATCTGAATTTCTTTTCATATTCGGGTTTAACTTTTGCACATACGGCGTCCTTGTAACTATACTGTTTGCACCTTAATCTTATCTATCATCCACGTTGCCGTGCACCCTCGGAGATAGTTAACGGTCCTGAAGCACTTCCCTGATTGCAGAAGGTCGCGGGTTCGATCCCCGACCGCGTCATACCAAAAGACGTTAAAATATGGTACTTGTTGGTACTCTGATCTGGCGCTCGGCATTATTGGGCACAACGAGGTCTGGTCGGCTCGGAGTCAGTATTATGTGTCTGAGTGGGGTATTCATGCTTCACTGCGGCATGGTATCTCTGTGGGCTAGCACTATAAAACCAGCTTCAGTCTGGGCTAGTACAAGCAGCCGCACATACACATACACACGCATGCACGCCGTCATATGAGCGAAATATTCTCAAGCACGACGTTAAACCCAATTTCACCTCACCTCACCTCCCAGATTGCAGGCATCAACCCTCGATGACGATCGAAGAAATACGAACAAGGTCAATATTCATATTCCCCTTCTTATGTACTATAGGTGCTCGTTGTATACGTGGGTAACTTAAAAACATAAACAACCAAACTACCGTTTCCGATACTTGAACCTCAAATCTGAGTTTTCTCAACATTCGGGTTTCGGGACTTGAATCCCGAATCTGAATATTTTTTCCATATTCGGGATTCGAATCCCAAATCTGATTTTTTTTCAGATTCGGTATTTTTGCAGATTCGACACTCGGCATTCGGTATTTGAACTCTTATATTTCATCCTCCTTCTAATGTACTAGGTGCTCGTTGTATACCTGGGTAAATTAAAAACATAAACAACCAAACTACCGTTTCCGATACTTGAACCTTAAATCTGAGTTTTCTGAACATTCGGGTTTCGGGACTTGAATCCCGAATCTGAATATTTCTCAGATTCAGTATTTTTGCACATTCGGCAATTGGCATTCGGCATTCGTATTTGGTATTTGAACTCATATTATGCATTTCATTAAAACATTGGTGAGCGAGTGAGTGAGTTTTGTTTTCCGCCGCACTCAGCAATATTTCTTAGCTTACATATTGCTGAGTGTGGCGTAAAACAAAACTCACGATTCGGTATGGATTCTTATACCGTTGCTTGACAACGGTGCCAATCAAACAGAACAATATGCAAGCTGTATGGCGGCGGTCTGTAAATAATCGAGTCTGGACCAGACAATCCAGTGATCAACAGCATGAGCATCGATCTGCGCAATGGGGAACCGATAACATGTGTCAACCAAGCCAGCGAGTCTGACCACCCGATCCGGTTAGTCGCCTCTTACGACAAGCATGGGTTACTGAAGGCCAATTCTAACCCGGACCTTCACGGGTATTCAAACATTTGGAATTCGGAACTTCAGCGTCCTTGTAACTATACTCTTTGCACCTTCATCTGTCAAACCTATCTATCCTCGACGCTGCCGTGCACCCTCGTAGATAGTCGAACGGTTCCGAAGCTCTTCCCTGCTTTGTCGGTGTATGCATGAGCTCTCGTTGAAGACCGAAGAAAGACCATCAAAGTCAATAATTTGAAACACACCTTTATTGAGGGCAATCATGCATGAATAGGTTTCTGAGATCAAAGGGGAATTAAGCAAGGAGGAAATCTGTTTGTTTGTTTTGTAATTCTGGTAATTGTATTAAACATCCCTCCTTACTGCTCATGAGAGAATTTGAGATTGACACATTTGAGGGCAATAATGCATCAATAACTAGCTGAGGTCAAAGGGTCAATTGAGCAAGGTTTGTTTGTTTTGTAATTCTGGTAATTGTATTAAACATTCCTCCTTACTGATTATGGTGTGTGAGTGTAAGACGTTTATCCATTCTACAAGGCCAACTATGATTGACTCATTTTAGAACTGAGCTCATTTAGAAACAGTATATAACAACACCCGCACCTCAGAAAGGTTCATATCCAAAATGGAGTCTGAGAGAGGTTCAGACGTCACCTGTATGAATTGTACAACACCAACAAGCGAGTATTGATTCCAAGACATGAATATCAAAAGACCATAAGTGAATTGCTGGTGGTAGAGACAATATGCTTAAAGAAGTTACCAAGAACGTGCACAAGTCGATTTGATTGACATGCAATCCATGTGTCAAGGTCAATTCAAATGGATTATGCATTATCAGCACCATCTCACTAAGTTATGTGTGTTGAGATCGTTGACCTCCAAGAAGTCACGTATCTGTTGGTTGACATCTTGCAGAGTGACAATGGTTCAGAATTTACTGCTGCTGTCATTGAGGAGGTGTCACAGATGTGGCCTAGCACCAAGATCATACATGGTAAACCACGTCACCCCCAATCCTAAGGTTCCGTTGAGCCTGCCAACTGTGATGTGAAGGACATCTTAACAGCCTGGATGTCTGACAACAATACCACTGCTTGGACCATGGGACCCAAGTTTGTCCAGTACCAGCTACCACAGCAGAATCAAGTAAACACGATTTGCTGCCTGTACTTGATCAGATGCACCCACTGGAATAAATTCCTCCAAGCTCCCAGATGAGGTGATTGCAACACTGAAGACGGAAGAAGATCTCATCAATGCCATAATCGCCATGACACCCCCTTCAGACCAGCCAGCACCAGATGCGCCACCAGTTACTGTAGATGTTCCAGATCCCTCAGCAGAAGCGGCCATGCCAGATCCAGATCCACCTGTTGTAGCAGATATGCCAGTACCAGATCCACCTGCTGAAGCAGCCGTTACAGATCCACCTGCTGTAGCCGCCGTTCCAGATCCGCCATCATCAGCAGAACTCCTTGTTGCAAAGAGACGTCAGCAGATCAGTATCCAGAGGAAGAGGGCTGTAGACTCTCAGTTGCGAGACGCCCTAGAGAATGGTGAAAAGAAGTAAAGTTGTTCTGTCAGAAGTTCACGTTGGTGACAACGTTACAGTTCCAATCCCATCCGTGGACAGAGGTAGAGCTCAATAGTGCAGTGGTAAGGCGTCAGCCTATCACGCTGAAGGCCCGGGTTCGATTCCCAGTGGAGGCACCTATGTTCGGGTCCCGAGGTGGGCACATTTATGTAGCATCCTTGGACAAGATACTTAGATCCACATTGTCTCAGTTCACCCAGCTGTAAAATGGGTACCCGTGAGGGTGTGCTGGCAATTTGAATGTTTAGTTCATTGCGCCTAACAGGCAGCATGGCTGTGTGATCCCCAGGGAGTTGAAAGAGTATCGGAAAGAACGATAGTGTCCTATGACAGGGGATAGTAATGTAAGTTGCGCCGTGAGCAGGCAATGTGCCTGGATATGAGCGCCATATAAGCGGACTATTACTATTACTATTAGAGCTGATCCCATTAATGACAGTGGCATATACACAAATGCTGTCAATGCTGGTGTTTTATCTGGAAAACATTCTCGTAATTTCAATTTGATGTGTGCGCCACAGCTCCGTACACCTTAGAGGATACGTCTACTGAAAAACTGGTCACCTTACCCTTAGCAGTCCAGTTTGGGTCAGCCTGTGGTGGACAAGGCTTTGTGAAGTGCAATTGTGCTGGAGTCAAGAGGTGCCAGACAAATAGATGCAAATGCTACAAGGCTGGTGTAAAATGTAATTCAAGGTGCCACTCATCACTGTCTTGTCAAAATAAAAACTGAATTGATGTTCTCCAAACATGTTCATCATACTTTTCCTTATGCACATCATGTACATCTATTATGTTGAATAAAGATATCATTGTAGCAAAGAAACGTCTCTATCCTGCTATATACAAAAGTCCAATTTCACATCTTTTTGGAAGAAACATACCTCAAACTACACAAGTAGTGATTTCAGGGAATATGTCTAAAATTCTAGTATACTTTTCAGTGATAATGTATAATCCCTGCAAAGTTCAGTGATTATGTATACTAAGCAGCAAAAGAAACGTCAGTTTGGAATTTTCCGTCGCAGAAACGGATAACTGTGAACTCATTTAATGTTTTGATTGTATATTGTTGACAACATCTCCAACTTTACCTGAGCAAAGACATTCCTTCCCAAACTCAGAATGGAACCCAGGAAATGGTCTCAAACACGCAACCTGATCTCGGAGATGGTACGGTGTTCTCCATGTTTTTCATGCAACTGCAACTGAAACATTCATATTACAACGTCAGCAGGATGCCCTGACTCACGACAGCTCACAGGAACCAGGTGCTAGGAAGACTTGAAGCTGGCCAAACTGCACAAGCCGTTGCCAATCACTTCCAGGTCAACGTTCGGACCATCTACCGGCTGCAGCAACGTTTCACCCACGTACCGGCAGACCAAGGGTGACCACAAGACGACAAGACCACCATGTTGTGCGACAGCATGTACAGAATCCCTTCATGCAGGCATCCGAAACAGCACGCCAGACAGGGGAACACACGGAAGACCAATCAGTACTGATACAGTACGCCGACGTCTTAACAGCGCGAACCTCCATTGCCGTAGACCTTACCGTGGACCTATCCTCACCCCTCGTCATCAGCGTGAACGTCAACAGTTTGCCCAACAACACCAAAACTGGCGATACAGGCAATGGAGAACTGTTCTGTTCACAGATGAGAGTCGGTACTGCGTATCAACTGCAGATGGCAGAACAAGGAATATGGCGACGACGTGGCCAGCGTTACTCAGACCAATGTGTTATGGAAAGAGGCTCATGGGGAGGTGCAAGCATCATGGTATGGGGTGGAATAGGCCTGAACCAGAGAGTGGGTCTTGTGGTGTTCCAGAACCTTGGTCCAGGGAGAGGAGGCGGCATCACAGCGGTGCGCTTCATCCACCAAGCTCTCAGACCCCACGTCATACCACTTTTCGCACGTCACCGGAACAACGTTTTCCAGCATGATAACGCCCGGGCCCATACTGCCAGAGCTACATGGGACTTCCTACAGCAGAACAGTGTCAACATTATACAGTGGCCAGCCCTTAGTCCTGATTTAAACCCAACTGAACATCTTTGGGATGGAATTCAGAGGAGACTGAATAATGTCATACCAAGGCCGAACACAGGCCTTTCTCAGAGTGTGGTTCCAGGTGCCAATGGCCTTCATCAATCGATTGGTGCACTCCATGCTGCAGTTATTGCCGCTCGTGGTGGTCACACTAGATACTGAAGTCAAGGGTCTGAATGGACTGCAAACGTTGACGTAATGTCTTGGCTTTGTGCTGAGTTATTCATCGATGTGTCAAGATATTGTACACAAAAAAATGTTTTTGATCCGCTTATTATGTCCATTTCTGTAATGATCTGATTACAGTGCCTATCTAATTTTGAATTCGTACTGACTTTTTTTGCTGCTGAGTATATAATCACTGAGTGAGTCAGACATTATACATAATCACTGAATATTTCAGGTATTATACATAATCCCTGGCATTACACATTCACTGTAACATATATATGTCACAGGAAATATGTATAAACAGTAAATATGTATAATTCCTGATAATTTCAGTAATTATGTATAATGTCTGATTCACTTTGTGCCACCGCCCCATAGTTACAAGGGCACTGGTTCTATAATATAGGATGGGTGACTTAGTTGGACGTTTTAGCTGAATGAAGAAATAAGGTCTTTTTAGGTTTTATTTTGTTTACATTTGGAATTACATTATTTTCGAATCCCAAATGTGGAAAAAAAATCAGATTCGGGATACGAATCCCGAATGTGAACAAAACATTCAGATTCGGGATTCGAATGCTGAATGTGAAAAAAAATTCGGATTTGAGATTCGAATCTGATAATAATGATAATAATGAATATTGACATTGTTCGTCTTTCTTCGATCGTCATCGGGGGTTGACGCCTGCAAGCAGGGAATAGCAACAGGACCGTTCACTATTTCCGAGGGTGCACGGCAACGTCGAGGACAGATACGATGACAGATGAAGGTGCAAAGAGTATAGTTACAAGGAGTGAGGGAGTTTGGTTTTACGCCGCTTGTAGCAATAATCTAGCAATATCACGGCGGGAGAAATGGGCTTCACACATTCTACCCATGTGGGGAATCGAACCCGGGACTTCAGCGTGACGAGCAAACGCTTTAACCACTAGGTTACCCACCGCCCCATAGTTACAAGGACACTGAAGTTCCGAATTCCAAATGTGTAAAAGAAATGCATAATAAGAGTTATACTGAATACTGAATGCCGAATGCCGAGTATCGAATGTGCTAAGGAAAAATCCCGAATATGAAAACAATTCAGAATATGAAAGAAATTTTCAGATTCGGGATTCAAATCCCGAATCTGAATATTTTTTGGAACTTTAGGCAGAAATCCCGAAACCCGAATCTTAAAAAAACTGAGATTTGAGGTTCAAATATCGAAAACTGTAGTTTGGTTGTTTATGTTTTTAAGTTACGCACGTATACAACGAACACCTAGTACATTAGAAGGGGGATGAAATAATGAATATTGACCTTGTTCGTCTTTGCTCGGTCGTGATCGAGGGTTGACGCCTGCAAGCAGGGAAGAGCTTCTGGACCGTTGACTATCTGCACGGCAGCGTCGACAATAGATAGGTTTGACAGATGAAGGTGCAAAGAGTATAGTTACAAGGACGCTGAAGTTCCGAATTCCAAATGTTTGAATACCCGTGAAGGTCCGGGTTAGAATTGTCCTTCAGTAACCCATGCTTGTTGTAAGAGGCGACTAACGGGATTGGGTGGTCAGACTCGCTGGTTTGGTTGACACATGTTATCGGTTCCCCATTGCGAAGATCGATGCTCATGCTGTTGATCACTGGATTGTCTGGTCCAGATTCGATTATTTACAGACCGCCGCCATACAGCTGGCATATTGCTGAGTGCGGCGTAAAACAAAACTCACTCACTCGCTCACCAAATGTGTTAATGAAATGCATAATAAGAGTTCAAATACCAAATACGAATGCCGAATGTGCAAAAGAAAAAAAGCCGAATATGAAAAAAAATCAGATTCGAGATTCAAATACGAAACAAAAATTCAGATCCGGGATGCGAATCCCCAATCCCGAATCCGTTTCTAACTTCATGTTCAGATACCACGTTAACAAGGCAGTGGTTCCATTTTGCTCAGCTAATAGTTGGACATTTTTTGTGGACCGAGTGGCGGAGGATTTCACACTCGCTATATATAAGGTTAGTTTGTGTTTTGCTCTCATATTTATTTATTTATAGATATGTCTGTGTATATAGTTGCATTGAGTTAATGCATTCATAAGAAACATTTCTCTGTTAAACCGGTAAATTAACCTGCAAATTAGTGTCAGTGTCAGTTATTGACAGTTATTTATAGGATTACCAATTGAACACTGACCGTTTGATAAGCTGCCACCTCATTGCCACACAGTGGTAAGTTAGGCATACCAATTGTATATATAATTTGACTTTTGTGGAGAGACAATGTGTCGGCCTTTTAAGTACTTCTGTATACATTATAGTTTGCACTAGTTAATCCTTTCAGTTTAACTGTAGCTACTGTTCCCTTTCTATGTCATTTATATATTATTCATAGATATTATGTGATATGGCTGGTGTAATTAATCTATCAGATATTTTAATAGTATATTTTTATAACTTTTACAGAGCTGGAAACGAGTAGTAAACTCTGCTTACTAAATAAAGTGATAGCTGTCAAATCACACCCGGGTAGCTGTTCTGTGTTTTGTGTCAACCAGAGCCTTGTCTGCTACTACATTTTGGAGCCCCCAGTGAGGATCTACAGCATAGAGAAACACAGCCTGAAGACAGCTTGAGGGAAGTTGATATTCCTTATCTGTCATCTTGTTAGTTGTGACTTCCAGATATCAGCCGTGACTATAACTGTGTTATATTCGTCAGAGACATTGCCGTTTGATTCTGCATTGCAGTGACTGATTTCGGAGATTCAAAGATACAATTAACTTTGTTAATATCATTGTTATATTGAGACCTTCATTCTGACATTGAGCCGTCGTGGTGAAATATTTCCATATGAGATGTCACCCTTCTGTGTGGGATGACGAGAGACATTCATGAATAGGAAGCATTCTTCACCCAAGACATTTTTTTGTGTTTATAGACTCAGATTCAGCAGCACTTTTGAGAACTCCATTGATATTTACTCGATATGCTTTAAGTGATAGCTGTCAACTCACACCCCAGAAGGTGTTCTGTGTCTTGTGGCAACCAGAGCCTTGTCCGCTACTACAACTGTGACATATGCTACTCTGTAAATATCGATAACATCACACAAAAATGCCTTGTGGCAACCAGAGCCTTGTCCGCTACTACAACTGTGACATATGCTACTCTGTAAATATCGATAACATCACACAAAAATGTGATTATCAAATCTCTCTCTCTCTCTCTCTCTCTCTCTCTCTCTCTCTCTCAATTTTATTTTAGTGTCAAGTTTTCATCCATAATATTGTCTTCCTTATTGAAATACCAGTCCATTCAGCTTTCTGTAAAAGTATTTAATTGAAATATTATTAATGTTTCACGCATTTCCTTACATACTCAAAAACAACATGCACAGTTTTACTGAACAGTATCCTGAGCTCACAAACGTTACGATCACATCAATTACTCCAGAGACAACATTGAGTGGAACACAGTGACTCACAGTAGTCATTCCACAGTAGTAGTGTCAGAATATATCCTATTTTGTCACTGCCTAGACGTTGCAATGGTTAGCATTAACGGGTGAAATACGAAATCGTGCCATGAATCCAAAAGGCCACCAGAGCCGAAGGACACTTCATACAGATAATGGCAACTCCAGATAGGATGGTTGTGTTTTCATCAATATGACTGCAGGCTGAAACAATTGCCATTGTTGTGTAAAATGTCAATTCACCCGTTCATAATTGTTAATCCCGTGTATAAACACGTTCAATCATTACAGTATATATATTAATGGAAAAAATACCATCTACGAAGCCTGTGGCGAATATAACCCAGAAATTAGACTGCTGAATCCATTTCAAGAGATCAAGAGATTCGTTTTAAAATAATTCTTCTGACATTTTAGGGTGGGGACAAAATAATGTGAGTGGTTAAATAGCTACTACAATTGGTAAATAGCAATGCATACAATGCACTATGACGAAATGTATTTAGCCATATGCATACATGTTGTAGGGTTTTACTCTACGCAACGATAATGACCAAAAGGTGTACATGGTGTGTCAAGTATCAATACCTGCTGAAGTTATACTACTTTGGGAAGCTTCAATGTGTCGTTAACTGTAATGTGCAACATTTGAAAATACCACATGATGCTCATAAAATACAAATTACAATCTTTATGATGCGTACAGTATAGAAAACGTTAATGGCAAAGATGAATTCTCTTATTACTGGAATGACAATAGAACGCCTACATTATCGTGTACTTCAAGCTTCGACATTTCACATTATAAAGGACAACCTGTTTGACCCACGCGTAGTTGTTTTATGTGACAGCGATCATGATCAGATGCGACTCTTACGGTCAGGAATCTATCCCTACATTTATATCTTGTGGCAACTCATTCAAATTGTTGTCAAAGAAGAGGTAATTGGGATCGTTCTGAATCTCCATAGATCATGTTGTTTGAGTTGACTTCATATATCCTGTAGTTATTGTTGCTGGGATTTTTATCTGAATTCGTGATGGATTCTTTGTCTTTTAGTGTGTTTTTGTCTTTAAAAGAATTCGCCCATCAAACATCATAAAACGGTGTCAAGTCATATGTGTTGATACTGAAGCATGTACCATGTTAGAAAATAATGTAACCAATTGTATTCATTGCCGTAATGTAATACCCTTCTGACACAGAAACGGACAAAATGAGTGGCCAAGTGGAATAGGAGCCGCAATTAACTGTCGCCTTTATCAGAAGAGTTGCTTCTAATACAATACATAGAAGACGTCTTACCAGTGACTGTACCTTATTGCATGTCAAGTGGGTGACACGAAGCATTTGGAGACTTCTTCTCGAGTGAAGTAACAGAACAATTGTTCATACAAGTGGTAATCATTACTCTAGATCCAGTTCATGTAGTTTTACATTTCATCCAAAGAGTGAAGTGTACTCCTGGTTCACTCAAGGTCAGATTACATCAAACGTTCGTGTCAGATACAAAATTGTCTTTTGAAATCCCATGGTCCGTAATATTTGCTTAATCTTAACGTTACATGACAGTTATAAATTTTCTGTCTGTGATAATGTAGTTATTTTCACATTTTTTATGATTAAGTGTATTTATCGTAAATTCATAACTTTTTGAGTCACGATATGGCTGAAATATTGCCGATGTGATTATAAATCGTAACTCACTTACTCATAATGGTATTTTTTCATTGAGATACACGTCAGAAGCGGACCACTTGATTGATATACAAATGGTTCAAATGTGTAGACGAAACTTTCCCTTATTGAAAGTGTTGTCATAGAAACCGGGAAAATTCTGTCGAAATTCCTCAGTAGCAAAATGGCGCCATATCTT